CCCCCGAAAATGACAATTATTGGCCAAAATAAAAGTGGTGACCCTTACGGGAGACCGGGAGATTCGATCTGTATCCTGGAATTTCCTGGATAGTGGATAAGTTATGAGAATTGGCACCGTCTAGGAACAAGCTCCCGACGAGCGCGAAAAAACAAAATAGGGCGAGCGAAGCGAGCCAGTGGGGTGTAATTTTTCCCTCTCCAGACCACTCTCGGCTATCTCCGCCCGCCTGTTTTTTCTTTTTGGCCTTCCCATATAACACAATGGGGAGCCTCGTCATAGGCTAAGTTGGCACACATCTTGTATACAAATTGAGGAGACGTTTACGCCACCTTTGCCATGCTTTGAGTACAGGCAATATTTGTGTCAAAGCTTTATCCCTGCAGATCCTCTTCTGAACGGCAATGTTGTATGTTTGTGAACGACATGACGTGGCTTTTGAATTCAGTTTGATCTTTATGACCTTCATGAAGTGGTACACAAACTTTTTCCTTGTGTAGTCTTTAATTGTTTACACAACTGTGTCCTCGAGCGGCTTAACATGATACTGTACTCTAACGTCTCTTGTCGTTTCAGCCGTTTGGGACGACATTCTTTCAGACCTTTCGTATGTAGCCCGATTCGTATATGGCCTGATGCATTGCCGAAAAAAAAAAGAACAAAAATAACACTGAGGCTCATAGTCCTTGTGCAAATTTTAACTGTTTTCAATTGACTTGTTCCTATCGTGTCACAATTGTTTGGACCTGTGGTAACATGAAGATCCACGAAGATCAAAGGCATCAGAGATCAAGAAAAGGACAAAAAAAGGCCAGAAAATGGTGTCACGTCTGCCACGATCCATAGTTCAAAGAACGTTCTCTTACTGGCACGGAAATTTAATTGGTAAATCAGCATCACATGCTTGTAAAATAGCAAATCAAGCAATCCCGTTATAATGTCCTGTCCCACGTCACGCGGCTACTTTGGTCTCAATCACGCATCATGCTGCTAATTTTTGGAGCGATCACGCGTCACGCAAAAACTCTTTGCCACCCTCTAAAAACACATCAGAGAAGGTGATGTCTGTGGTCTAAGTGCTTCCTCTCTAGATCCTCAAGAGCTTCAGTGGCGGAGGAATATTTTGGTTCGTCTAGAATCAATCTCGTTGCCTTGTTTTCTTGTACTTGGAGATCGTTCATCGGTTGAGTGTTGTTTTTATGACCCCATATTATGTTACCATAGTCACAAAGTGGGAGAATTAAAGAGTGATGAAGTGTTAAGCGAACGTGAAGTGGTAGGAGAGGCTGGATTCTTCTAAGGAGTAAAAAAAAACCCACAAATCTTGATTTAGCGCAATTAAGGGTGAGCAGATTATACTGAAGCCATTGTGCAACAGTTTTTGAGTCTACATTCAGATAGATCTCGTTGTCCTGGGCTGTTTTAGCAGACTAGTAAATTAGGCTGTCATCAGCATGGATGATGATTTCGCAGTGTCTGAGACTCTTTTTTGAGACGCTGTGGAAGGTCGTTGACGCAAATGATGAACAGCAGTGGTCCAAATATGCTACCTTGGGGTACTCCAACTGAGATAGGCTTAGGACACGAGAGACAATTCCTAGAGGAGACGACCTGTTTACGAGCAGAGAGATAGGACGTAAACAAATCCATGGAGTTGTTATCCAAACCTAGAGATGTTAGTTTCTTGAGCAAAAGTTGATGGTCGACAGTGTCAAATGCCTTGCTGAGGTCAAAGAACACGGCACCATGCAGTAACAAGCCCGTTATCCATATTATCTACAATGTTCTCAGTCAGATGAGCAAGGGCCACTTCAGTTGATAGGCTTGGGCTAACACCAAATTACTTAAAGCTTGTAACTGTTGTAAGTAGGTTTAGGCTAGGTCAGCTTGGGTTCCGTTTAAAAAATGGGTTCGTTTCGGTTCCGTCGGAAATTCGTTTCTCGACGCGACTGTTGTGACGCAATTAGAATAATAGGTTGTAATAGAATTTAAATTGTACAATAGGTAAAGTAGTGGTATTCAATAAACTAGGGAGTTACACTCTGACGATGTGGTTCATTGTCTCTCTCCCCCGGGAGTCTCCTGCATGTTTATTTGAAATTTGCATACCGAATGTTGAAATTGTTTTCTCCGATCACACAGCCAAAAATTAAACATTATTTGGCCCCGTATACTTCCTACCCTCCCTACTCCCTAGAATACTTCCTTCAAGCTAAAACGTGAGAGAAGCAAGACTTGTTCTATAAGCGGCGCTAGATGTTTCTGTTGCATAGTATTCAATATGTATGTATTCTAGATGTTTATGTTACATAGTGTTCAATGATCAGATGAGAAAGGGTCTCAACAGTGTTTGTTTTGCTTAAGTTAACCATTTATTGTATGCTTTCTAAATCGTATGAAGAAACATCGGGCGAGCAAAGTTTTCCTCGGGGCGAATTGAATTTTTTGGGGGACGAAACGACTTTGAGTTGGGGCGAAACGCCCTGTTACCGTTGGCTTCCTGTACACGTGTTGGGTTCCCCATAGGGCAGTACGCAAAATTTGCCCCCCCCGGAAGACTTTTTTCCAGGGGCTATGGCCCCGCTTTCATAATATCGGCGTTTGCTTTAAACGCGAGCAGATCGAGATCGGATCAATTCCAAGATTCTAGCTACTCTTGGTAAGCCGGAAACTTGTTAGTGGGGATTACCTGTCCATCGACGAAAAGGAGAACGCAGTCCTAATACAGACTGAATTGAGATTTTATGGGACAACCGGCCGGTCTTGGACGTAAACTTGGCATCCCCGAGTCTGTTTTGGTTTCTCAATCGATCGTTTTTTTCGTTTGTGGTTATGATTCTGGGCCGTGTAAACACAAACGTGGCCAGCTTCGTCGGGATGCGAGATGACCTGTTTTTGTTACATGACTAGGACAATTGTTCATTATGTTCACGATCACGACTTTGAATCGCCTTAGCTTTGGGATGTAATTATAAACCGTGAACAACTATATATCATTCGCTGTATCACAGTGATTAGTTTGAGTGTGGCGACAAATGATTCAGTCTGCGTCCAGTCGAATATTGTTTGGAAAAGTACTCTGAAGCCTGAATCTATAAGATTAAGCCTGAACCAAGGTACAGCAATGTAAATGCTGTC